AGGCAGAGAGCAGTGCCGGGGTGTGCGGGCGGCAGGAGCGCGGAGCCGTCCAGGGCTGGGCCCTGGCAGCAGCACAGGGCGCAGGCACCGTCCCGGGCAGCTGCGGCTGCCAGAGGGCAGAGAGGGGGAGGCAGCGGGGCCAGGCAGCGCTGGCCATTGGGCTCACCTCGACAAGGAAGGCCAGGGCAGGCAGCTCCCAGCGGGGCCCCTCCCTGCTGAGCAGCCCCAGCAGGTGCCTTGCCAGCAGGCCATAGGAGGGGCCCAACACGCAGCGCATCTCCCTGTCAGGGCAAAAAGAAAACCCTCGGCCCTGAGTCGGGTGGGCAAAGCTCTGCCAGCACTGACTGGGCCATCCCTTGGGGCCAAGGCCCTCTGTCCCACGCCCAGGGGGGCTGTGTGGGCTGCCCCGTGCCCAGGGCAGAGATGCCGGGGGCAGCAGGGACAAGGCTGTCTCACCTGGCCAGCAGCCCCACCGCGTAGTGGTGGGTGTCAGCAGAGAGGAGCGCGTCCCAGCCACGCTTGCGCTCCACTGACACCAGCACCTGGTCCCGCTGCAGCCGGCAGAGCAGGACCCGGATGGTCTGCACCACAAAGCTGTGTGCAGAGCAAAGACCACGTCAGGCTGGGAGCCCTGGCCCCAGCCCCCAGGGCACGGCAGGGAGAGGGGACGGGCATGGAGCACCTGTTGGGGTGGGTGGGAAGGCCGTGTTGCTCCTGGCATCCCCTCCAGAAGGTGCTGACCTCCTGTGGCATCTGCTCTGTGCTCATAGAAGCTTGGCAGAGCAGAGCCAGGAGGAGAAGAGGGGCATAAACCAAGAGTGCATCTTGGCACTGGGGCTCCTGGACCATCAGCCACAGGGCCAGGGTTGCCTGCAAGAAAGCCACATGGAGACACCATCAGTGACCAGAGAGAGGGAGAGGCCAGGGAGAGCCAGGGGGAGCAGGTGGCCTGCTGCCCCTGAATCTGCCCCACAGCCCCATTTGCAGCCCAAGGCCTGAGGGAGATGCAGCGGTGGGGGAGGATAGAGAGTCGCTGCAGAAACTCACAGCCAGGGCAAAGACGTCCACGTGGTCCCCGCTGGAGGTGGACACGCTGTGCAGTGGCCAGTCCTCCATCACCTTGAGCAGCGTTGGCAGCACCTTGTGCGCTGTGGTGGCCGAGGAGGCGATGGTCCTCCACAGGATTGCAGCAGCTCTGTGGAGCCAGAACTCTGGGTCAGGGGGGTGTGGGCCTTGGGAGCTGTGGGGGCCCAGGTGACAGAACCACGGTGCATTGAGGAGCCAGGGGGGAGCATGGCAGTAGGGTCAGGGACTGACATGCCAGGGCTGGGAAGTGGAGGGGCCCGATGGTCCTGAAAGTGTCCACTTGTCTGTCAGAGCAGGAGGGACAGGCTGGATGGGGTGCTGGGTTGTAAAGGCTGGTGAGCCCTGAGGCAGCCAAGCAGTTGGGCCCTGTACCTGTCACACGCTGGGGCACAGTGCAGGAGAGTTGTCACCACGTGCCCAGGGTGTGCGTGGGCCAGCCTGCGGATGGCAATGGGCGGCCTGACCTCTGGAGACTCCTGGCACGTGAGCCACTGGTGGATGGATCTGACAATGGCCGGCACCTGGAGGGGAGTGGGGGACAGTTGGAGAGCTGCCAGAGCCAGCAGGTTGCCCAGTTTGCCGCAGGAAGGGCTTCCCTTCCCACTGCACTGTGCTGGCCTCAAAGGCTCTGGGGGCCCAGCAGAGCCGGCTTGAGGGGCCACAAGACCCCTGGGAGGCTCGAGCCCTGGCCACAGACTGCTTACTTCATCTGCATTGGAGACAGTTTTCTCCTCCAAAATGTCCAGCCTGGGAGCATCAGTGACACTGTGCATGGACATGCAGTCAGTGTCTGCGGTGCTCTCAGTTGTGGCGTCAGCCTTGGCCCTGACATCAGTAGGTGCCGTGTCAGAGCTTGTCTTGGCGTCGGTCAGTGCCGTGTCAGAAGTTGCTGTGCCATCCGTCAGTGCCGTGTCAGAGGTGGCTGTGCCCTCGAGAGGTGCCATGTCCGAGTTTGCTGTGCCGTTAACCGGTGTCTGGTCAGAGGTGTCAGTGCCATCAACCGGTGCCGTGTCAGAGTTGGCTGCGCAATCAATGGCTGCCATGTCGGTGGTGTCTGTGCCATCAGTTGCTGCCATGTCTGAGGTTGCTGTGCCATCAGTCAGTGCCATGTCACCACTGGTTGCACAGTCACTCGGTGCAGTGCTGCCATCAGGTTCCGCCTCGAGCTCGGCTGCGCTGGTGTCAGGCTGTGCCGTGAGCTCGGGCAGAGCAGTCGTGGCTGCTCTGCGCCGAAGTCTCATGAATTTCAGCAACCTCTGCAGGAGAAGAAAGGGCAGGGAAGAGAGGGAAGTGGCATGGAGTGCTCTGACAGCGGTGCCAGGCGGAGCAGGGACAGCAGGCCCAGCCCAGGGGGGGATGGCTGCAGGTACCTGAACTGCCCTGCGCAAGCGGCCACGGGCGCTGTCCTGCTCTTCTGGGCGGTCCCGGCCCGGATCTGGCAAAGAGCAAGCGCAGTCAGAGCTGAGGGGCCACGAGAGAGGCCAGAGAACACAGCCCAGCCCTGCACTCCACAGGCAGGGCCGGCCCTGGGATGCCCAGGGGATGGAGCACGGATGCCGGGGGGATCAGCCTTGGACCCCTTTCCCCCTCCCTTTCCCTGGCCAT